TAATTGTATGAAAAGAATGTAAATAAATAAATGTAAATTAAACAAATGTAAATTAGCTGTAATGTACAAATGAAAAAGTGAAGCAAGGTATTGCACCAATGTTATAATAAAATATATATATTATATTATAATTATATAAAATTATATAAAATTTAATAATAATTGTATGAAAAGAATGTAAATAAATAAATGTAAATTAAACAAATGTAAATTAGCTGTAATGTACAAATGAAAAAGTGAAGCAAAATATTGCACCAATGTTATAATAAAATATATACGTTATAACGTTTTATTATCGTAATATTCTTCTATATATTTATTTTTATTGTGTAATTATATACTTAGAAGAAAGGCATAATTTACAAATTTATTAAAATGATTAATATGATTGAATTATATGATTTATAATAAATAATGTTTCTTTGAAGAGATTTTTCTATGAGTTTTTTGGGGGGTTTTGAGTGAAGCGATGAGGGAAAATGGAAAGGTAGATGTCTGAAAATGTTTTCTTAGTATTTGTATAGCTTTTTAGGAGATTATTATGTTTTGGGATACTTTGTAAATGTGATGAAAAAGAATGGACAGAAGATGTCTGATATAGTTACTTTAGTGATTGTACAATTTTTGGAAGGAATTGTATTTTTTTACTTTTGAGAAATATATTTTATACGTGTTTGATAGAACCCAAAAATTTAAAAAGCTGTCACCTTAGAAGCCCTGTGATTAAAATACTCACTATACAATTACCACGAGTCTCCCTTTCTGTCCCTTACCTTTTCCAATCTAATTTAAAGTATATTATTATTTGTTTTAAATAACATAATTGTTAGTAAATTATTTCTCTGTTGCAATTTGGTATATTTCTCGCTCGTACCATGTACAACCAAGTCAAAAAATATTCATACTGTCAAAATGAAAAATATTGGTACTCATACTGTAACATTAACGTTAAAGTAACACCACATAGTTAGAAAACTCAGTGTATGTGAGAAATCACACCTAATAAACTAATTTGAAGCGAAATAAAATATATGAAAATATATAAAAATATTAAATATAAAATAGAAATTTATTAAGAATTGCAATAATCAATAATATAACTATAATATAAATAGCATAAATTTCTTATTGAGTTAATATTTAATTTAAATTTCGAATAATGTATATTAAAATATTTATAGTTTTCTTAATTCCATAACTAGCTTTAGATCACGGGTAATATAACGAAAAAGAAAATCAGAAAATTTCGAATATGCCATAATGTACGAATTTAAACACGAAACGCCGTCTCGTCAACAAAATTATTTTTATTACTTTATTTATCGCTAAACGTTGGTACATATTAAATTTGAATTTTATTAGCATTTAAGGGAATAAGCGAGCATAAGCAAAATTGAATAACGATGTTTATTGACTAAGTATTATCTTCAATGGCAAAGGCATATAAATATTAAAGGTACCATGCTATTTGCATTGTTATCAGGGTGTGTCATAGGAGTAGTTTACCCGTTTCCATAATTCAGCTTGGCACTGCTCCGGGTTTTATTTTCACGTCTTATTACTGTACTAATACAGAAGAATTTATATACAGTCCAGCACAGAGATATCTGGCAATATATAAAACGTATTATTATGTTTATATATAGTTCATTTCATTTCGTGTCAACTGTGCACATGTGAAGAAAATTACTATTTAATTTTCAATTAACATATGTGAGATGAGTAATTATTTTAATAAACTTATAACATTTCAACTTTATTATTTCAACATTTTAACAAATGAATATTTGAATACGTAAATGGTATATATTTGTAAAAACATTTTTAATTTTTAATTTTGTAAAACAATTTAAATTTAAATTAAAAGTTTAATATTACTATTAAACACGTGTATAAATATTTTTTAGGTGAACAAATTTTTGGAGCAGTATTAATATATAATAACAAATTAGTAATACTATTAATAAAATTAATAATACTATTATTAGTAATACTAGCGACCAGACTCGAAAATTATATTTTTATTGAAGATATAAAAATTTACTTTTTCTGTCATGCAGTATTTAAATGGTAGTAAAATAATAATGATATACTAATAATATTATTTAAGTAATATAATAATAATATATTAACTCTATAAAAAAGTAAGTAATGGTAAAAAAATTTAAGATGATTTATTTTTAGATATTTCCTTCATTTCTATAATTAAATGACATAAGCGAGAATTTCATAAAATTTGAACTTATATTTATTAATTCCTTCCAAATTACAAATGACTTTTGCTGGTGGATTCGAATAAGGAAATAAAATAAAAAGAGAAATATCATAAATGAATAACTTTGATGGTAATGCAATGAGAGATTTCTTTCTTTATTTATCTATTTTTCATTTTCTCTTTTACCTGATTTTCGAGAATTTTGAAGCGC